GCACGGATTGGAAATCTAAGATTCTTACAGCCATCAACCGTTGCCCATTTTTTGGTCCCCATCTTTGTTGATTCCATCAGCTTTCATCAGTCTGAAGCTCGACACCCATGTTCTAAACAATTTCTGCAGCATCTCAAGGCACTTTTCTCGGTGAACGAATCGTTCTCCGCGGAAAAGGGCTCTCAAAGTCTTAAAACAATTGATTTTTTCGTGGGAATCATCCCTTGCGAGCCTTGCAACCCGAGACCCTGCCATCCCAAAAATGGCTCCTTTCAAGGCTTGGAGTGATGAGTTGGTCCGTGTCCTGCAGCACCAGACAGGTCATGATTTTGTTGAAGTCCCTGCCAAATCATCGAAAAGAAACCTAGAAGATGGAAATTATCCCATTCCTCTTTTTTGGACAATCATTTTTTCAAATGCCGGTTGTCACCCATTTCTACCAGGAAATGATATATAACTGAAAACGGCGTGTTTTCAGATGCCTTCACTATTCTTATGGAGACACTCCTCCGAACCCCCTGGTAAGTGGCGCTCCAGTTGGATGCCCACCAGAACTCTGGCCGCCACCATGGCACGCAGCTTGTTGAAGTTGAAGGAGACATGGTGACCTTGGCAGAGCACCGTTGTTCTCATGGAATTTAGCGAGATCTGTAGATGTTTGTGGGGGTTTAAGATGTACTTTAAATTTAGTAGATATTGATTTTTTGTGAAACGGATCATCTACCAACTGCACATCTACCAACTGCACCTGGCTATTGGGAGGTTCATCGACCCAATCTTAGAACTTGGCGTGTGCTGTCATCGTGGTGCTGCAACTTCGGATGGTTGAGAAGGATATGGTGCTCTCAAAGTTGTCGGATCAAAACATCAACACGCCTCCCTACGCCCCACGCCCCGGGTCGATGAGCAGTCGATGCATATTGATCCAATATTTCTAACATTTTCTAACCAGGGTCTCTGATCAGCGGTCAAGCAATTCGCCATGGAAATCTTCCGGTCCCATTTTGGCCACTGGAGTTCCCATGGGCGCAGGCCTTTCATGGGAAGCATCTTGTAGACGATCACCTGAGTGACAACAATTTGCCTGAAAACAGGTGTGCTTTCAGGCGAAAAGCAAAAAAAACAAACTATGTCCAAAACGGTGTGGCTATTTCAAGCACTATAGTCACTAGTCCTCGCCATTCCGGAGGTTTTTTTCTCAATGACAACACATGCCCAGCTCATGGACACTGTGCCACCGGACATTTGGAAAGCCATGCCACTGCGCAGGGGGCATGAATTTGTCGTCAAAGACCTTGGCTGGGCGGATGCGCTCGTGGCTTGAGAACCCGCTGCTTCCAAGGAAAATCATCTGCACAAGGTGAATCTATGGTGAATCTATAGTGATTCAATCCTTCCCAAGTATCTGCTTTAGAGATGATTCTTAAGACTCTCTCTCTCTCTGGTGCCATCTCAGGCAGGTCAGCATTGAAACTGCGATCACTGAATCTCTCTGCTCGAAACTGATCTCGGTGCTTTGTGGCGCCCATAGCTTTATGAGAGAGAATACATGATTTTTCCCACCATATACCACCATACAAATAGATCAAATATATAGTAAACTGATGTAAACTGTGAATGTCCCAGGAATCTTTAACGACCCACCTGGAACTTCGCCACCCATGGTCCAATCAACAGGGAGCCATCGGTAGCCCAGGGAGCCCAGGCCACCACCACCACGGGACGGGTGGAGAAGAGGTCGATGGAACGAATCAAATTTACCGCCTCTGGAGCCATCTGGAGCCTTTTTAACCAGACATGGTGCCATCAAAATCTGGTGATCTACGTTAATAATATGGGTAATATATGGGTAATATATATGGTTATGATGATGATTAATGATGGTTAATAATGGTCTGGTGGGTGGTTGAGCCCTAGCCCTAGCTGAAAAATGATGGAGTTATGAGTCAGTTCGTCCATTTTTTTGATCATGAAATTCCCAATGGCAAAAAATAGGACATGTTCCAAAGCACCAAGCAGAAAATTCTTGTTTGCTCCACTGGAAAGCGACAACAAAAACAGGGAGATCTTACTGGAAATCATCTATAGAGATTAGAGATCTATGGATGTTCATTTGACCTGAAAAGCCTTCTGAAAAGCCAGCAAAAAGTCGGACTCTGCCACTGGGATTTCATCTGGAAGTTCCTTCTAAACCAAGCGAGACATGCCACAAGCCGTGGATGAATCATGGCCCAATGGAACTCAGCTGGCCGCCTGCAACGCGTAGATGGAATCCTGTGGGCCTGCGACATAGGTCCTAGGCGACTGTGGCGATGACACTTGCGGTTCACTGTTGATCTCAGCCGAAAAAAGGCATGCGACATCACTACAGTACATAGACATATCATGACAGATCTATGGGTCATATATCCAGATCGAATCACATGATTCGTTTACAGCCCTAAAAAGTGTAGGTTCTAAGGCAATTGGCCCCCAAAGGGAGTTCTGCCATTGCAATTCCTTGCTGAGCTTCCCCACACGAAGGCCTCCTCCAGCCAATCTGACTCGGGGCTGGTCCATCTGAGATAATTCTGCAGAAAGTCGCAGTCCAGGTAGGTTGACCTGAAAAAAGTTGGGCTTTTGGAGAAAATTCGCCGCTGGAAATTTGAGGCCAGTTGACCAAAACATGGAAGTCGAATCGGACCTTTCTGTGCATGCACCCTCTGACGGCTGGTGTTGCATCTTCATCTTCAACATCATCATCATCATCATCAACAACAACAACAACACTACAGTACACTAGATGTTTCCCACAGGGGCCGCATCACAACTTCCCCAAGGTCAGGGCCAAAGACGCGACATCCAGGCGTCTTGGCACATCTCCTGGTGTCGACGCTCCGACCGAGACGGCGCTTTCCCAAGCGGCACCACAACTGGTGGTTAGTGAGATTTTGCAGGGCTACACGCATGACATGATTTTATAAATATATATATGTATATACACATGTCACATATATATATATTACAGATATATAGGTATATAGATAGATAGGTAGAATAGAATAGAATAGAATAGAATTGCATTGAATTAGATTAGAATAGAATGGAATAGAATTGAAAGATTGAAAGATTGATAGATAGATAGATAGATAGATTGATTGATTGATAGATTGATAGATTGATAGATTGATAGATAGATAGATATACATATATATGTATGTGTATGTGTATGTGTATATATATATGTGTGTTTATATATATATGTGTGTGTGTATGCAATATATATATACGGGTTCGTTGTTTGTTGCTGGAATTTTCTCAAATCGGAGGACCCCTTGGCTCTTGGTATCATGCTGTTGTCATATCAAACAATGCCGGCAGCTTCCTTGTCACCGCAAAGTGGCCCCTGAGATACTCTTTGCAGCCCATTTGATAAAACGGAAGGGAACTTACACTAACCTAAAAATTGGCTGAGGATCTATAAATCAATCATGTCCGTGACATCACAGTGTCATCATGTCATCCAGATATGGAGGTTTCCATGGGGGTAGCCCTAAATCATCCATATTTGTTTGGGGTGGATTCTTCATGAAATAAACATCAATAGACCATCTAGCTATGGGGGTATCTCAGATATCTCCATGGAACTATGTCACCAGCTACTGGGGTATCTCCATTTATAGAACCCCTGGGTTTCCGTCTAAAACTTGAGAGGGAAGGGTGAAAGATCGAAAGGTAGGCGTGGGTTGGAACAGGAGAAGAGAGCAAGGGAACGAGGCATATCCGCTGCGGACGGACGTGGGTGGAGTTGGGGCGGATATCGAAAAAAGTCTTCTGGGCTTGGACTCGAGGGCGGGTACCAAAAAGGTAGGTTTCAGGGAGGGGGGACGCGACACACACACAGACACACAGACATATATATATATAAATACATACATATAGTTAGATATATGTATAAATATCAGGTTATGGGGTTTGCGAGGCAACGTGTAACTGGGGGCAGCACATTGTTGCAACGCGGATGGGGTTGATTCTGGTGTGTACATGTGTAGAACAGTGTGGGATTCACAAACGTGGTGTTTTGACCCCAGCATGTACCCAAAGCAACTGACTTAGGGCTATCCTGGTGCTGGAATCTTGGTGCAAAAAGTGGGCCCGCGGGGTGACTTCTTGCAAACGCGGCATTACAGGCGGACCTTGGGGAATCGAAGGGGGGGGTTCAATATAGTTGTGATAATTATGTTCTAGTTATTATAATAATTCTAGTCATTATAGGTGTTCTAGTTATTATACATGATAACTATATATATATACGAATATATATATATATATATATATATGAAACATATTGAAATGTCATTAGCGAAATCTTTTGGTTGAAGAGAATATCTTGGAGGAACCCTTGCGGAAAATCCACCAAATGATCTAGATATGCTGAGCAAGGGGCAGCGATTATGCTTCGGCAACCACTAGCCAAAGCGCAATATCCCACAATTGCTGGGTAGAGTATGCATATATATATATATATATTATACGAATCTATATGTATATTGAGATTATTTAGTATATATATATATCATGGAATTATTATGTGTATATATATATAGATACATATCTTTAACTATATTGTCGAAGGAAGTTGAGAAGCTAAACTTCCGACAATATGGACAGATGAAAAAAACAGAGCAGGGCACAGGCAGAGAGAAGAGAAAGTTCAGAAGAGAAAGAGTCAGAAGAAAGAAGATGCAGATGCGCGAAAAGGTAGGAAAGTCGCGATTCACTGTGTTTTTCCAATGATTTGTGGTTCCGGAGGGTCGAAAGTAGGCTCGCTAAAGCGGCGGGTGCGGAGACATATGGGGAGATGAGACATGAAAAATTGCACGCCGTTGTGGCGCGAAGCTCATTTCCAAGTCAAAATGCACAAAACACCAGAGGATCGGACCACTTTTGGCGCTTCAGATGTCGAAAAAGTGCACGCCGTTGTGGCGCGAAGCACATCCCCAAGTCAAAATGTACAAAACACACCAGGGTCTGACCATTTTTGGAAGTTGCGATGTCGAAAAAGTGCACACCGTTGTGGCGCGAAGCACATGTCCAAGTCAAAATGTAGAAAACACACCAAGTGCGGACCACTTTTGGCACTTAAGATGTCGAAAAAGTGCACGCCGTTGTGGCGCGAAGCACATTTCCAAGTCAAAATGTTAAAAACACTAGGGGTTTGGACCACTTTTGGAGGCTCAGAGGTCGAGTTTCGAAAAAGTGCACGCCGTTGTGGCACGAAGCACATTTCGAAGTCAAAATGTGCAAAACACCAGGGGTTCGAACCACTTTTGGAGGCTCAGAGGTCGAGTTTCGAAAAAGTGGACGCCGCTGTGGCGCGAAGCACATTTCGAAGTCAAAATGTACAAACCACACCATGTTCGGACCACTTTTGGAGGCTGAGATGTCGAGTTTCGAAAAAGTGCACGCCGTTGTGGCGCGAAGCAGATTTGGAAGTTAACATGTTAAAGACACTAGGGTTTCGGACCACTTTTGGCGGTTCAGATGTTGCTTCGCTTAACTCGACTACACTACATGACACTACACTTTGCTGCACTACACTACAGTACACTACATTACATTACACTACACTTCACAACACTACAGGTTACAACTACAACTACACAACTACAGTCCACTACAGTCCACCACACTAAATTACACTGCACTACACTCTCTACACTACACTTCACTACATTACACTACACTACACTCCACTACACTACAAATACAACTACACCTACCCAACTACACTCCACTACACAACATTAAACTACACTACACTACCTTACACTACACTACACTCCACAACACTACAACTAAAACTACACAACTACACTCCACTACACTACACTACCTTACACTACACTACATTACACTACCCTAGACTCCACTACACTACACTACATTACACTACACTACACTACCTGCCGCTACACTTCACGACACTACTCTACACTACACTCCACTACCACCTACAA